TTTACAAATTTGTTTTCCTTTTTAAATTTTTCTAGGCTTGGGAATATAATTCTTCCAATAAAAATGTTAGCAAGTTAGTCTTAAACATTGATAAGAAGTTTCTTATTCCAGAGCAACAGGAACAAAATGTTATGGTAGTCAAGGAAGATGAGCAGACTAATTCTCAAAGAAATAAATATTGACCTAGAACTGAAGCAAAGTACTGCATGATATTAAGAGCATTGCTCAGCAGATGGGATAGGTGGACCGAGAAGACCAATAGGTTGCATCTACACTGCACACTAGTGGTAGCAGTGTATAGGGCTTGTGTAGATACATGCCGCAGCGAAAATCGATCTGCGTCCACACTGTGGTATGTAGCTACATGCGGCATTGAAAGGCTTTGGTGGGGGGAGGTAGTGGGGAAAGGCTTCAGTGGCTCCCTGGTGGCAGAGCCTTTCCCTGTGGCACAGAAAGATTCCAGCAGTGGGATGCTAAACTGCTAAAAATAGCAGTGTTGAGAGGGGAGGCACTGCTTGTGTGAGTAGAGAGCCATGTTGGTATATACAAATACTTCATTTGCCTAAGCTGTGCCTTACCGTCTATACTGCTATTGATACCTGTTCTGGGGGGGAGAGGGGAGGTAGCTGTACACATACTCTACACATCACTGTAAAAAGTGTGCAGTGTAAACATGCTATTAGGCGGTGTCCTTATCTTTCCTTACCGTGTTCCTCCCCTTGTCCCTGTTTGATTGTTAGAATTTAAACTCTGAGCCTGGGATTTCTGGTATTTTGATCTCCATATCTTACTTTTTCAAAACTGAAATATAGGGATGATTTAGTAGAACCGTGACATTGTTTGGTCCTTTTCATTTTGCAACTTATGTTCCTGTCTACAACAATTAGCTACTCCCAGCCATTCATAGAATCATAGAATATCAGGGTTGGAAGGGACCGACTGCCGCCCTCACTGCGACCCCCCGTGGCTTGCCGCCCCAGGCACGCGCTTCCTGCGCTGGTGCCTGGAGCCACCCCTGCGACTTATACAGCCCAAAATGCTGTTAACCTTCTTGGCAACAAGGGCAAACTGTTGACTCATATCCAGCTTCTCGTCCACTGTAATCCCTAGGTCCTTTTCTGCAGACCTGCTGCCTAGTCATTCGGTCCCTAGTCTGTAGCAGTACATGGGATTCTTCCTTCCTAAGTGCAGGACTCTGCACTTGTCCTTGTTGAACCTCATCAGGTTTCTTTTGGCCCAATCCTCTAATTTGTCTAGGTACCTCTGTATCCTATCCCTACCCTCCAGCGTATCTACCACTCCTCCCAGTTTAGTGTCATCTGCAGACTTGCTGAGGGCACAGTCCACGCCATCCTCCAGATCATTAATGAAGATATTGAACAAAACAGGACCGACCCTTGGAGCACTCCGCTTGATACTGGCTGCCAACTAAACATGGAGCCATTGATCACTACCGTTTGAGCCCAACGATCTAGCCAGCTTTCTATCTACCTTAAAGTCCATTCATCCAGCCCATACTTCTTTAACTTGCTGGCAAGAATACTCTGGGAGACCATATCAAAAGCTTTGCTAAAGTCAAGGAATAACACGTCCACTGCTTTCTCCTCATCCACAGAGCCAGTTATTTCATTATAGAAGGCAGTTAGGTTAGTCAGGCATGATTTATTCATTATAAATCACCTGAGGACGAGGAACTGAGATCAATATATTGAAAATGACTTGATATACTAGATAAAGCTTTATGACAGAATGAACTAATTTCAACATAAGGTTATCTCCCCTAAAAAGGAAGAGTCTGTAAAGAACTATAATGCAGTGTTTTTTAGCAGAGTAAATTAACGACAAAATTACTAGTCATTTCCAAGACATGCCAAGTCTCATTGGATCTTGTGACTGCAGGTGAATGTTTTGACACTTCTGCATGATGGAGCTGCCTTTTCAACATGAAAATCTCTAAGGTCTTATTTTGAAAATTTTAAAGGATATAAGAATTTGGGATAGACTATCATTTTGACACATTAGTGTCTCAAAGGTGGATGATCGTGTTACATCCTGCTCCAGTATTCCACTGTATGGCAACTCCAATCTCTTGCAATTACAGGTTTCCATATGCTTCTATAGTTGCTAGGCAGAGTCCTAGTCACTGTTCCTAGCTCTGAGCCTGTCAGGCAGACTGCAGGCTCAAACCCCCTTGTTTGCAACATGAGACTGCCGCCCTAGAAGTTACAAAGTGGCGGGACCTCCTACCACCTGTTGAGGGTGAGAAGCCCCGGGGGGCCAGGTATAGTCCACCCTTGTCCCGAGGCCCGCTGGGGATATCAGCTGGCGGCTCCTTCATGGGGCCGTGAGCACGGGCGTGTACTTGGCGCGGTTTACCCCTGTCCCAGCCACCTGTCCTTTCTGCGGCGTGAGGGAGACTCTGGCTTACGTTTACTTGGAGTGCGCCAGGTTGCGGCCCCTACACCGGCTCCTCACCAATATTATGTTGCTTTTTTGGTTGCACTTTTCCCCTCACCTTCTCATTTACGCACTCCCTATCCATGGCCCCACTAAGTCACGGGACCTCCTGGTCAACTTCCTCTTAGCCCAGGCTAAGCTGGCCATTTATAAAACCAGGGAGAGGGGGTTGGCCGATGGAGGCTCCTGTGACTGTGGGGCCTGTTTCCGGTCCTCTGTCCATTCACGTATCCGGGCAGAGTTCCTCTGGCCGGTGTCCACTGGCTCCCTTGACACCTTTGAGGAGCAGTGGGTGCTGTCCGGGGTTCTCTGCTCGGTGTCCCCGTCGGGTTCCCTTCTTTTGACCCTTTGACCGCACTCCTGTCCCTGTTTTTACATTAGTTGTCCCCCGTAATCATTTGAGTTTCAGGCCCTCTGTATCCTCCCCTTAGGCTGTGGGGGGACCCTTTAGCAGTGGGCGGGCTTATGCCCGCCCACTTCCTGAAGCCCAATAGGTAGAAGTTAAACCAGTGCCTCAGACTTTCTGAGTGCCCAAGAACTCCGCTGTATCTGTGCGTGCTCTGGGCTTCTAGTTTAAACTTTTCGGGGACAATGTGGCAGGAAAGGAAGGAATTTAGGCTTAGCAAAGGAATTTCTTAACCACAGTAATTTTACTCTTAAAAGGATTTGAGAGTTGCAGCTCTTTTAAAAATAACAAAAGTCCTGAGATGTCCCTTCCCCATGCCTGATCTCATTCCTTCTGCGAGTCCAAGATTTGTCAGCATTCCAGGCTGTACAGAGTCCCTCTTATGTTCTCTCTCCTAGGCATCATGTTTACATGGGGTGATGGTTGGCCCCCAGCTTAAAGCATCATGTTACTCTTATAGTCTGTTTGCTTGCCATTTGTTCCTCCTGAAATGTTTTAGCCGCCTCCCCTTGTCATGCTGGCACCAGCTGCATAGAAACCCTTTGTTCCATGGAGGTGGACCAGTAGGTGTGTCAGTCAAAGTCCATAGTTTCAGATTGCCTTCTTGATGGTAGTCCTTCAATGAGGTGTCAAGCACTATTCCTGGGTTAGGCTGTAGTATGGAATGGAATTCAATAGTCTTACCTTAGGCAAGTTTAGACATGTGTTCGACACACAATACAAAATAGAGTTCAAAATTTGATACACATATCGTCTGTGTCACAGTCAGCAGTTGGCCTGTAAGAGGAAATAATTGAACTTTGACTTCTTGATGAAGCAACATTGTGGAAGTTATGAATGTAGACAGCATGACTAGTAGGACTTTGATAAATGTGGTGGAGAGCTGTAAACCAGGAATTTCCTGTTTTGGCATACTTGGTAAAAATATTGATCTTTATGGCTTTGGGATGAAAGATGCTGGTCTGAGAATTGTTAGTGTAATGCTTAAATTTTGTGTAGCGCTCTGAGAGCACTTTAAAAAGGCTAAGTAAGGATCCATATTATCATTTTTACAGATGAGGAAATAAAAGGATAGAGACACTGATTTTTACAAGGTCACAGAGCAAATTAGTGGTAGAGATTGCAATGCTGATGGAGAGTTTCCTGTCTTCACCAATATGAAAGAACAACCATGGTTTTCTAATGCAGGATTTTTCAGAAGCTGCCCCTTAGCAAATTCAAAATCATAGTGTCATGCAAATTATAATGAGGATTAATGGCATTCATACAGAGAATTCAGTAATATTGAAAATGCATGACTTTAGCAGTACAAAGATGACTATATACTCACATCTAAAAATCTGCATTCAAGTATTCATAGGACAGCACAGTAGTAAATATTACTGCATACAATAATGTAGAATGCATATGAAACTATAATCTTGTTTGCCATCTAGGAAACCTGAAATGGCAGTCACGAGCATTATATTACAGTGGTTACTGATAGCTATTGCTATCTTTTGATTGCAAAATAGTTTAATTTATAACTCTGTCTTCAAATGCAAAACTTCCTGGAAAAGAAAATTACCTTTTGAACTCAGGACATTGAGCAAAATCCTTTCAGCAGCTCAGAGCATGGGATCCTACTTCCTCTGTATCATGCAATGCCCATTTGATTTTTATTCAAGGCTAAGTTGTTAGTCTTTCTCTGAAAAATACCTGGCTGGAGATGCCACTCTCTTCTCGGGCTTGATCCTGTGCTCATTGAAGTCCATGACAAAGCTTCCATAGACTGTAATGGTACAGGATGAGGGCCCTAATACACTATTACTTAAATAGTCAATATTTGAAAAAAGTACAGAATTCTAACTGGATAATGTAATAAGGCCAAATTGAAAAAAGTAAGGCTTATGCTAGGCTCAATAAAATATTCAGTATGATATATCCAGAGAGGGAGTCTGAGTTGTTCTTTAATTTTTATATTGTTCTGGTTATTCTCCTCACCCCGCCCCACCCCCCCCGACTTAGAATTAGAATTAAGAACACACAAGTGGCTGGCATGTTTTAAGTAGTTGTTTTAACCTGCATGTTATGTTGCTACATGAAAGTTATGTACACTTTCTGACAAACATTACTCAACTTCTTTGTTTGTTTCAAGTTCTCTGCTGGAAAGAAGAAATGTGGATGTTTTAAATATTTCTGGGAGCCCAACTTCTTGTACTGGGAGCCCAACTTCACAGAAAAGTGAGTTGAATGCTGTTATATTTATATTTTAAATTGAGAGAACAGATCTCATTTAAATAACTTACCAGAAATTGATATTGAATTATTATAGGAAAATCTGGTAAGCTGGAAAGGAAAGATAAATATAATGCCAAGCAAGTAACCGTATCTATATGGTACCATATGTTTTATGTAGGGCTGTCGATTAATTATAGATAATTTTTTTGAGTTAATCGCATGAGTTAACTGCGATTAAAAAAATGAATTGTGATTAATCATACTGTTAAACAACAGAATACCAATTGAAATTTATTAAATATTTTTGGATGTTTTTCTACATTTTCAAATATATTGATTTCTATTACAATACAGACTACAAAGTGTACAATGCTCACTTTATATTATTATTTTTATTACAAATATTTGCACTGTAAAAATGATAAAGGAAATAGTATTTTTCAATTCACCTCATACATGTACTGCAGTGTAGTCTCTTTTTCGTGAAAGTGTAACTTACAAATGTAGATTTTTTGTTGTTGTTACATAACTACACTCAAAAAGAAAACAATGTAAAACTTTAGAGCCTACAAGTCCACTCAGTCCTACTTCATATTCAGCCAATCGCAAGACAGACAAGTTTGTTTACATTTACGGGAGATAATGCTGGCTACTTTTTATTTACAATATCACCTGAAAGTGAGAACAGGCGTTCGTATGGCACTTTAGTAGCAGGCATTGCAAGGTATTTACGTGCCAGATATGCTAAACATTCATATGCCCCTTCATGCTTTGGCCACCATTCCAGAGGACATGCTTCCATGCCGATGATGCTTGTTAAAAAAATAATGCGTTAATAAAATTTGTGACTGAACTCCTTGTGGGAGAATTGTATGTCTCCCCTTCTGTTTTACCTGGATTCTGCCATGTATTTCATGTTATAGCCGTCTCGGATGATGACCCAGCACATGTTTGTTTTAAGAACACTTCCACTGCAGATTTGACAAAATGCAAAGAAGGTACCAATGTGAGATTTCTAAGGATAGATAGGGCACTCAACCCAACGTTTAAGAATCTGAAGTGCCTTCAAAAATCTGAGAGGGACGAGAATGCTTTCAGATGTCTTAAAAGAGCAACACTCCGATGCGGAAACTACAGAACCCGAACCACCAAAAAAGAAAATCAACCTTCTGCTGGTGGCATCCGACTCAGATGATGAAAATGAACATGCGTCGGTCTGCACTGCTTTCGATTGTTATCGAGCAGAACCTGTCATCAGCATGGACGCATGTCTTCTGGAATGGTGGTTGAAGCATGAAGGGACATATGAATCTTCAGCCAGGGGTGAAAGTAAGCTGGTACAGGCCGGTACGTTGTACTGATAAAAAGTGGCCGCTGGTACCGGCCTGTACTCAGCTGATGTTAAAACGCGGCCGCGGCAAAGGAGCCTGCTTAAAGCACGTCCGCGGCAGTGCTTTAATGTCATCGCCCCTTTTGCCCCCCTGCCTGGGCCGCCACTGAGAGGGAGGGACAAAAGGAGCAGCTGCCCTGGTGCTGCAATTTAAAAGGGCCCAGGGCTCCGGCTGCTGCTACCACAGTAGCGGCCAGGGCCCGGGCCTTTAAATCGCTGCTGGAGCTCTGGGTGGCACAGGCCAGGCAGTGCGGATGGGCTGACTGGGGGACGCTGACCCCCAGCCCTGTCCCTTCTGCCTGAGGCCCCACCCCTTCCGGGGGCCAGAGCCGGCCCCCATACAGGTAAGTTTGGAATGTTACTTTCACCCCTGTCTTCAGCGCATCTGAAACATAAATATCTTGCGATGCCGGCTACAATAGTGCCATGTGATCGCCTGTTCTCACTTTCAGGTGACATTGTAAACAAGACGTGGGCAGTATTATCTCCTGTAAATTGTAACCAGACTTGTTTGTCTGAGCAATTGGCTGAAGTAGGACTGAGTTGACTTGTAGCTTCTAAAGTTTTACATTTTTATTTTTGAATGCAGTTATTTTTTGTACATAATTCTACATTTGTAAGTTCAACTTTCATTATAAAGAGATTGCATTACAGTACTTGTATTAGGTGAATTGAAATATACTATTTATTTTGTTTTTTACAGTGCAAATATTTGTAATCAAAAATAAATATAAAGTAAGCACTGTACACTTTGTATTCTGTGTTGTAATTGAAATCAATATATTTGAAAATGTAGAAAACATTCAAAAATATTTAAATAATTGGTATTCTATTATTGTTTAACAGTGCGATTAATTTTTTTAATTGCTTGACAGCCTGAGTTTTATGTCCTTGTTTATAAACTATTATCAGTTTTTAAATAAAGGGAAGTTAGGAAGTCTTTTTTTTTTTTTTTTTTTTTTCCTTCCTCCTCCATCCACTTTTACTTGCCTAATCCTTGGATTTCAATGTATTTTATACTAAACAGTCAAGTGGTTATTTGTAAGCAGAAATTATCTTAGATGAAAAATGTATGCAAAGGGTTCACGTCTAACCCAAATAACCTAATATCATTTAATTAAGTTCTATAGGATTGTGAGGAAATAAGAACAAGAAGAATTTCTAGTGTTATACAGTTACACAGGAACAGGTTAGCAATGTTGCTCGGTCACTTATAAACAAGTTAATTTAACTCACTGAAAACAATTCCTGTGCAAGTTCAGACGTATTCATGTCAAGCAAATAGATCACACTGAACTGGAACCTAAACATTGTGCTGAAATTTGCCTTTGCCAGAAAATGAGGGAGCAGAAAAAAAGGGCTACTGATTGAAAACTAAAGAGTCCAAAGTTAGTTTGATAGATACTTTAAAACTAATATGTCCAAATGTCATTGATAGTGAGACAGTAGAATAAGTCAGAGGAAGATGATAAAGACAGAAATAACTTGGAGAAAAAGAATTAAGATGCTGGATTTCAACAGGGGACAGGAAAAATGTTCTCATTCTTTAGAACAATTAACGGATAGTCTGTAGGATAGAACTTCTATTGAAATGCAGCATCTTCATTCTCTTTTTCTGTAAAGAATAAACTATTATACATTGTGGGTAGAACACGCAAACTTTTGTATATTTTTTTGTTTTGTTTTTTAAATGTAGCACAAGTAGAAATTGTTAAGTATACTCCTAAAAATCTTTTCAGTTTTAAGATGCTTAAAATCTTCTAACCGTTTTTTTCCCAAGAAACCCCCCTATCCAATAGTGGGGCTTGGGTGAGAAGAGACTGTAGAGCGTAGTGCAACAAATTGAACATTGCCTTCACCCTAATTTTCAGATACGTTAGTCCAGAATGCAACATAAAGCAGGTCAACACAGAGACCTGCTCTGAAATAACAAAAGGTGTGTTTTAAAGCCGACTTAATTGTTCAGTGTGAGTCAGTGTATGGAAACTCTCTCTCCCCTTCTTCAGAATAAAATGACTAAAGTTGACTGGGCTAAAGTTAGTAACAAACTAATCTTAGCTACGTTTACTTTAGCCATTTTTATTATGAATAGGCGTGAGTGTCCACAGACAGACTTGCACTGAAACAACTAAATCGACTTAAAAAACAGATCAGTACAAATTTGCACGTAGGACCAATCCATTCAAGAGTAAATTTTGCTTTTTATTTGCTGCAGTGTAAACAGAAAACATATTGAAGATACAGCACTATCCCATACAGATTTGAAGTACAGTACTATTTTCTTATTGATATAACTTTCTTTTTTTCTTTAAAGAAACCTCCAGTGAGGAAAAGCCATCTGTCATCTCTCCTTATGGGGAAACTTTTCTTTTCAACAGCCCTGCAGATGCCAAGGTAAATTGAAAGGTCTTGGTGTAAATACTGTAGTGCAGTACATTATTTGTTGCCCATCCTTCCTACTGTATGAATGTGTGCGCACACACTACTTCATGAATTACTTGTACTCCAAATATTTCATGGACTAGTAACTTTGATATAGTGAAGAGTGAGATGCACTTTCTTTCAGCAGTAGTAGGCCTTGCATGAAGTATATAAGGAAAGCCATACCAGATCAGGCTGGTGGTTCATCTAATTTATTCTCTGTTGCTAGTACCAGATGCTTTAGAGGAAGATGCAAGAAATCTGGCAACAGACGTTTATAGAATAACCTGCCCCAATAGAAGTTTCTAACTCATCCCAACCAGTTGGCGTACACATTCAAGTGTGAAGCTGTCCTAGTATCTAATGTAACTATAGGTATTCTCATTATCAAATGTCTAATCCTTCTTTGGATGCTCTTGTCTTCAGTAATATATTGTGGGAATGAGGTCCACTGATCAATTGTGTCATATAAAAATATTTCCTTGTATCAGTATTAAAACTTGTTGCTTTTTTGATTTTTCCCTATCTGTTCTTGTAATATGCAAAAGGGTAAATAGTAGCATCTGAATTCCCTTTTCTTAATTAATTTTTCCTTATATGTCTGTCATGTCCAGTCTTATTCATCTGTGTCTTCTCATAGGGGAGTCAAATGTTGTTGTCAATGGGGAATCCTCATTGAATGGAGTTATTTCAGGTGGGGTTCTGCAGGATTTAGACTAGGCGCCAATGCTGTTCAACATTTTCAACAATGATCTAGAAATATAAAATCACTGCTGATAAAATTTGCAGGTGAGGCAAAGATTGGCGGAGTGGTAAATAATGATGATGACATCCTACATCAGTGCCCTTCACTATTTTTGAAGGGGGGCCACTTTGGCAAAAAACCTTCAGTGTGAGAGCCACATCAACTACTAAATTAACACATTGCTTACTAGTCCTTAATGATGTAATGTTACAGAGCCACTCATGTAACGAAAACAAAGTCTACTTGTACAATAAAACGATACTCCTTTTATAAAATAACCAGGAAAATATATGGAATTAAAAAGGTACCTATGCAGGTAAACTTTTTAAGAGCAGAATAATGCAAACCTTACTTTAAAAACTGGATGAGCAAAAGTGTGCCTGTTCCTCCTTGACTTTGTTCACGGAGTATTTGTAATCTGTCATTGCAATCCTAGTAAGGCAGTCCAAATGTTGGTTGGTCAATTTGTTCCTCTGTTTTCTTTTCACCCCTGTGGGTGGAGCTGAGGATGAGGGGTTTGGAGTGTGGGAGGGGGCTCAGGGCTGTGACAGAGGGTTGGGATGTTGGGAGGAGGGCTCTGGCTGGGGATGTGGACTCTGTGGTGGGGCTGTGGATGAGGAGTTTGGGGTGCAGGCAGGCTGCCCCGGGGCTGGAGCCAGAGGACTCCCCCCAGCACTCTTTCCCCCCTGCCGGCAGGCAGCACGGAGCTCCGGGGGAAGGGGCCCTCTCTCCCCCTTGCCGGCAGGCAGCACGGAGCTCCGGGGGAAGGGGCCCTCTCTCCCCCTTGCCGGCAGGCAGCACGGAGCTCCGGGGGAAGGGGCCCTTTCTCCCCCCTGCTGGCAGGCAGCACGGAGCTCCGGGGGAAGGGCCCTTTCTCCCACCTGCCGGCAGGCAGCACAGGAGCTCCGGGTAAAGAGGACCGCCTCTCCCGTCCAGCAGCAGGGAGCTCTGGGGTCAGAGGAGAGGCCCACACCAGCCCTGCAAGCCCCAACTTGCTCCCCTCCCCAGTTCCCACCCACCCCCTACCTCTCTCCTCTCCAGGTCCGTGCTGTGTGGCTCTTTAGAGCTGCTGTGTGGCTATTTGTAGCCTGCTGCACGGCTGTTCAGCTTAGAGGGAACTTAGCAAGCCGCACTTAGGGTCGATGGGAGCCGCCACTGGCTCACGGGCCTTGCAATGAAGAACACTGTCCTACAAAGGGCAATGTGGATCTCTTGGTAAACTGGGCCAATTCAAACAAGATCTGCCTTAGTACAACCAAATGTAAAGTTATATATCTAAGAACAAGGAATGTAGACCACGCCTACAGAATGGGTACTGTGTCTTGGAAAGTAGTAACTTTGAGAAGGATTTAGGGTGCATAGTGGACAAGCAACGAAACATGAGCTTCCAATGTGGTGCTGCGGCACAAAGGGCTAATTTGACCTTTGGATGTATAGATAAGGAGTAGGAACAAGGTAATTATTTTACCTCTGCGTATGGCCCTGGGGAGACTGATACTGGAATTATGTGGACAGTTCTGGTGTCAACATTTTAAAAAGGATGTTGAAAAATTGGACAGGATGCAGAAAAAGGTCACATGATTCAAAGTCTGGAGAAAATGCCTTATGGTTAATACCTCTGCAAGTATATAACTATTTCTATATTTACATGAACTAAAGATAAAGTCATGTGCTATTTGCCCCAACTAGGAAGGGAAAGAAGTCACACAAATGACTTTTTAAGCTTCTTGCTCCCCCCCATCCCTCCTTATGTGCAGAATGTCTTGCTAACACTGATTATTTAATTTTGTGCTTGAGGTTGAAAATACTTTTAAAAATGAACAAAATGCATCTTCTATACTTGTATTTAGGAGATGGAAAAAGATTTCTAGTCTAAGTTATGCCTTTGCAGTATTGGGAGTGTTGAAACTTATCGGTAATGCTACTTACCCTGGTTAGAATAGTTACAAAATAGAATACAAAAACACACCTAGGATGGTTATCAACAATCTCCTTTTTATAAAGGCACTACATGTAAAATTATTCTACCATTAAACAGGCCATGTACATTGGATTATCTGCCTAATAGAATGGAATTGCTATTTCTTTACAAACTCAGATCTCATTAAACACAACTGTTTACAATATAAACATGAATAATGTTGAGTCTTTCTACAGACCAAAAATACGCTGGTATTCTCTTAGTGTGGGTAATCAAAATTTCCAAGTTGTTAAAGGTAACACATACTACTAATGTTCAACTGCATCAGAATATGGTTTGTGGTGGTGGGAAAAGAAAGGTACTAAAATTTACTGAAAAAATCAGAAAACACTAGATATTCCAAATATCCTAGGTATGCATAAGAAAATACTATGTAGTTCTTAAGAAAAGTTTAATTATCAAAGTCTGTGTAACTCATATATACACACACACACACGTAGCAGACTAGTATTCTGGACTAGTTAGGTAAAGCCTGATCATTGTATATTCTAAGTGGCTGGGTGTTAGATGTTACACCACTGGGACAGGAAAGATGTCAAGGGAGCAGCTGGGAAGAATAGGCTGCAGTTTATATGGGCAATGTCTGGGGAAACCATTAATCAGTCACTAAGGTGTTATAGCTGAGAGATGAGTCAACATGAGGGAGCTGGGAATTCATGTGGTTATCTGCACTGAAGATTGGCTGGAAACCTGCCTGAGTTAAACCAGGGGGGGAAGGCAGCTGATTGGAGTGGAGAGGTCTGAGGAGCTGCCTGAGCAAGAAATGGTTTTATGTATTGATTAAACTATAGTACAAGTCAAACAATCTTGTTTTAGAAGCTACTTTTAAAAGGCATCCAATCTGAGGAGTCAGTTATATATATGTATGCTGGTGCACTCCGCACATGCTCAGTTTATGGTTGTCCTGTCTCTTTCTGTTGCTGAGATACAACCTTCAAATGTAAGTTTGATGTACAGCTTCTCCAACTGCCTCCCTCCCCCCCCCAGCAACAATAATGCTGGAAACTAAACCCTTCCTTTCCATCGCCATTTAGCTGGATATAAGTGCACTTCAAAGCTTAAATGGGTTTATTTATATGCTTCCATCATAAAACAGGAGCATATTGTGGGGTTTGGTTTTTTGTGTTCCAAAGGGTGTGGGAAACACAAGAAAACTGAATGTTAATGTAGTAATGTAATAAAGTTGTCAGATCAACTTTTGGAAGTTTGTTTTTTAAATAGGGAAAAGTGAAAATTTGTGAAATACTTACCTTTAAATAATTTGGTCCTTATTTGGAAGCATTTGAGATCACCTGTCCTTATATCGTATGCAAAGAAGAAGTGCTTAAATGTCAGAGTGGCACCTTTACTACTGTGGGTGTCGTGTTCCTGATTTTATATTTGCAAAAACATTGAGGTCATGTAGCAATCCAAACCAAATGCATGTCTCTATAATTGATTTCTTTTTTCCAGGAAATCTGTGGAAATGAATTCTTGGCTTTTGAAGAAAAAATTGAAGATGAGGAAGTGACTGAAGAGCATTGTCTTCATGATAAATCACGGTATTACTTATGAATTAAGGACAAGTTTAAACCTATTCTTACACCTGTCATCAACGTCTTTATTGAAATATAGTAAAATGGTTGACTTGCATCCCTGGGATCACAATCAGGATGGCATAATATGTTTATGGAGATCTGACCCCTCCCCAAAATCAGTCTGAGTTTGTAGTCTATGACAATCTGGGAACATCTTCCCCCTGGTTCCTGAACTTTGTTCAGACTTAAGTTGATGTAGTTTGAATCACCTTGTTCTGCTGGCGGTCCCTCCCATGAAAGCAGGGAAATTGTGAACTTTATCTTAGATACCTTCTAGGAGGCCGTTGCCTGCATGCTACCTTCATCTTCCCTTCCCCCCACCAACGCCAGTACTTACTTTTGGGGTGGGGCTGTGATACTTACCTCACACTCCAGCCCCAATCTACAACATATGGGAGCTGTCAACTGATGCCAATTTGCCCATTGAAGATTTTAAAGGGTTGACTTGATCTCACTTGGAAACAGGCCAGGCCACAGCCCTAAAGACATGAATGGGGTCCAGTATGCTGAGGACAATGAATTCCCTTTGAAGTTCTGCAAAATGCATAGAATCATAGAAGATTAGAGTTGGAAGAGACCTCAGGAAGTCATTCCGACCTCCTAATGAACCAATAAATATTGTGTTACTGCTAAACACAGTGATTGGGCATGGTAGGATTCACTCTTGGTCACTATTAAAGTAAATGTGGTTTGTTTCAGTGTAAGGTCTGTAACCTCATAGCAATTTAGAATGACTGTTTACAATAATTATTATTATTAGTTTTGTTTATTTATGCAATGTACTTATTTAATAAACCAAGAGTAAAATTCTGTTGGTTTCTTCTAGTGTATTTAATATCCAGAAAGGGAAAGCATCATCTGAGGACCATGTGAAAAATGAATTGATCTCTCAAGAGGATACATTTATGTTACCAGAACAACTTGCTAGTGAATCTGAATATACTACTGTGGAAGAATGTTCTCCGTATTTAAGAACAAAAAACCATAAAGCCAAAAAGTATTCTTCATTCCCTACTAAGAACCGAAGCAGAAATCTGGAACAGTCTGTTAAAGAATCAATTTATTTTCTGCCATTTGGTGATAAACAAATTATCACCCCGAACGATTCAATAACACCCTATGCCTGTTTTTATGGATCATCAGTAAAGAAGGTTAAAGCAGGGTGGTTGGATAAACTGTCACCTCAGGGGTATGTAGTATTTTCTATTATTATTTAATACTTCTTATGTTTTCGTGTTATGAAAATGAGTTATATTAGTCCAAATAGTAATTGTTTTCTTTTGGGAAAAAGTAGGATTTATAGGGGAACAGATGGGAACATTAGTAATAAATATGGTGTAGGTTTTTTCTTTTGAATTCTTTTCAATTTTTGAAATAATGTTGCTCATTCCAGAAATTGATTAATAGGTGCACTTAAGGAAAGATACGTTTTTAATGAAACAGTTAGCAAGCACTTACGAATTACAGGTTGTGAATTCTGCTATAAATTGTTATTGTGTCTTATCCTGAAACTTTTTAGAAAAGTTCTTCATTGGACCACAATCAGAAATACAATGGACTCTGGTGTTGTAAGTTTCCATTTACCAGACTTGTTGTAGGTACATATAAAAATTGCTTCCTAGATTGGAAACATTGCTGAGTTTCTCAGGCTTTTTGGTTCCAGTGCTGCCCTATCTTCTGATCTGATTCATAGCATTTTTTTTTTTTTTTTTTTTTTTTTAAGTTCATGAGGCACAATTTATTTTCTGGTCTAACCTTCTGCAAAGCACGCACAAAAGAACATCATCCATCACCTGAAGCCCATAACTTCTTTGAGCTACAGCATGTTTTTTAGAAAGACATCTAGTCTTGATTTAAAGACCACAAAGGCTGGAGAATCCACTATATCCTAGTTACATTGTTCTAATAGTTAATTACCCTGTTAAAATTTGCAGCTTTTCATAATATGAATTTGACTAGGTTTATTTTTTGAATCATTGAATCTCTTTCCTTTTTACCTTTTTGTGCTATATTAAAGAGCCATCTGCTGTCATATAGCTCTTTCCCATGTATGTACTTGTAGACTCTAATCAGGTCACTTGTGAACCTTATCTTCAGTAAACTAAATACATTAAACTTCTTTAGTTTTTCACTTTAAACCAGGTTTTCTAGACCTCTGATCATTCTTGTGTCTCTCTTCTTCTGAACTTTCTTCCAATTTGTCCACACATTTTTTGAAGTGTGGACACCTGAATGGAACACGATATTCCACTAATTCATAGATTCCCAGGCCAGAAGGGACCATTGAGATAATCTAATCTGACCTCTTGTATAACACAGGCCACAGAATTTCTCCCAAAAAATCCCTACAGCACATTTTTTTTTTTTAAAGGAAAAAACATCCAATTCTGATTTTTAAAATTGTCAGTGGAATCCACCACAACCCTTGGTAAATTGTTCCTATGGTTAATTACCCTCACGGTTTTAAAAACTCATGCCTTATTTCTAGTGTAAATTTGTCTAACTTCAACTTCCAATCATTGGATCCTGTTATACCTTTCTCTGCTAGATTGAAGAGCTGACTATCAAATATTTGTTCCCCATGTAGGTACTTATAGTCTGTAATCAAGTTGCTCCTTTACCTTCTCTTTGATAAGCTAAATTGAGGTCGTTGAGTCTATCAAGGATCTATCTATAAAACATGTTTTCTAATCCTTTAATCATTCTCATGGCTCTCCTCTGAACTTACTATTTGCAAAAGATATCAAACTGGCCATAACATTAAATAGTTAGCAGAGCTGTGCAGAACACTTACGTTGTAATTCATGTACCAATGAACTGAGTCATGGGCCCTATTTAAACTCCAAGTATGTGTCCCACACTTTAGGAAAAGCTGTGTAACAAGATGCTAAATAGAACTTATACCCTGAGAATTCTATTTGATGTTAATTGCAAATCTTAAAATTAGAGCACAATTTTTCTCTCTCCACTTAATTCTCTAAAAAATATAAAGCCACTCAGTTTACTTGGTATATAAAACTGAATTTCCTTTTTCCTCTGCACAGCATGTTGAGGTAGTACTTGTAGGATTTATTGACATTTTTAATGGAAACTGGATTTTACACTGGCCTTTTCAGGTTGAGAACAGTTATGATTTATTGTTGTCATAAAATACATGTTAGTTAATTAAACCAGAGCTGCTGTTATTTAATTAAAGTTTTGATAAACTCTCACAGTCTACTAATCTTAAAACAGAGCACTCATTTAGCAGGAAGGGAAATAATGTTGGGAAAAAAGATGTTAGAGAGGGGTCTCATTCTTGCTTAATTAACTGTTTAATACGTTTTAGAATTGAAACTCATATACAGATAACTAATGGGCCGTCAACATTTTTAATGAACAGAATGGACTATTTCAGGTTCATGCAGTTTTTTTTTTAAAGTGGTCTTTATATAGAGTTTATCATCTCCGTTTGCTGTTAATAATCATAGAATCATAGAATATCAGAGTTGAAAGGGACCTCACGAGGTCATCTAGTCCAACTCCCTGCTCAAAGCAGGACCAATCCCCAACTAAATCAAAAATACAAATCATGTTAAATCACTCCAGTTAATAATGCATTTTTTTTTAATGGAATTTTGTTTCATATATTGTACTCGGTAGTCCATGGCCTTGAGTAGGTGCAAACTCTGGGAATAGGGGTGTGGGTGGTAAATGGCTTGTTGGTCATGTGAACTGTATCCTGAAGTGCCCTTTTTGGGGGGGATGGCAATAGGGTGACAGATGTCCTGATTTTATAGGGACAATCGCGATATTTGGAGCTTTTTCTTATATAGGCACCTATTACCCCCCACCCCATCCTGATTTTTCACATTTACTATCTGGTCACCCTAGATGGCAATGAGCCAGTTGCTACAGGTTCTCAAACTTCTCTCTTGGGGCTCCAAGCAGGGGTTGAAAGTAAGCCGGTCTGGTCCGGTGTACCGGCAAGAGCCAGTACGCAGCCGACTGTACTGGCAGGGGGCAGCTTCTCCCAGGCCGGCGATTTAAAGGGCCCGGGGCTCCCGGCAGTGGCTGGAGCCTCAGGCCCTTTAAATCGCTGCCCGAGCCCCGGGGCTCCCGGCCGCCACCACAGCTACTGCTACCATGGGCCTCCGGCGGTGATTTAAAGAGCCCGGGGATTTAAAGGCCCCACCTCTTTTGGTTTGAGGCCCCACTCCCTGCTCAGGACTCCAGCGTATTGGTAAGTCCTTTAAGTTACTTTCACCCATGGCTCCAAGGCACCTAAAACCTTAACTCTGTCTCCATGAGGAGCAGCCAATCCTTGATCCCCTGTACTTGTGGATCCTGTGTTCCTTTTCCTTATGACTTCTGGGAACACTGAAGATGGGACAGCAGCAAACCAAATCAGGGAACATTCTCACTTTTGCTGAGAGATTCCCAGGAAGGAGTGTGTGCCTAATGACAGAGGACTGAAGGGACAAGGGTGCGTGCAAATAATTGGCATGGACCTGAGTACATGTTTGCCTGCACTAGTCCCTGAACCCATCTGGGACTTCAGAAATTTATAGGAGTCCTAGTCTATTATTAGTCTAGTCTATTTCTTCCTATGGCTCTCATCCGAGAGAGGTTTTCTTTCCACTGTCTCTTTTTACTTGGCAACACTTCTTATGGTGAGCTCCCATTTTTCTTTAGATTAGGAATCTGATTTAGCATTCTTTGGATGATATCAAACATTTTGATGAGAGATTGAATAAAGGAGTACCGGATGTTTTCAGAGACTTCTGTGGCTTTGGCATGTACACATATAACTTTATGCACAATAATAATTCTATAAAATGTACAATTGATTTGAGTAATAATTCATCAAAGGAGTTCATCTTGTAGTGGGAGCCGGAGGGGGGGCAGGCTTTTAAAGGGATGCTATCAACATAAAGAAACCCACACCTGTCTGAAATTCTTCTATCTGTTGTTACAAACACCTAAGTTTCTCTAGAACAGTTTTGGGAGAAATTGTTGTTTCTTCAATTTGCTTATTTTTTTAACTTGAACACTGTATATTGAATTACACTGTTTGTCCTGTTTAGATGGTCAGTTCCCCCCATTTGTGTGTGTCGAAACAGCAGCATGGATGACAAAAAGATGTAGGGTGAAATCCTGATTCCATTGAAGTCGATGGCAAAAATCCCATTTATTTCAATGGGTCAGGAGTTTGTCATTTTAAAAAGCAAGAAAATGTGGCTCTAAAACTGCAGAGTTTCAGAAGTAGTATGATTTTCACCGTTTTTTTTTTTATATTACTGAAGATTAACTAGATAGTTTCTCATTAACCCTTGCAGTCTATTATTGCTGTTTATAAGCAGCAGAGATGGAATTTACAGACACAGATATTGGTTGTCAGATCCCTCCATTAAAGAATGACTTGCCACTCTGAAGTTCACCTGGGGACTGACGACAAAATATTTTAGCTGATCAGAACCATCATGACTGATCATAAGGAGATAAATAGTGTTAAACATCAATGTCCCAGGCCATTTAAGGCTTTGTAGATGATCAGCAAGTTTGAACTGAACCAGAGACGCTTATGTCAGCCTTTTCCACATGATTAGTAGGCAACTGCATTTTGCATCAGTCCTAGCTTTTGAGGTATCTTAAATGGTAGATTCAGACTGGAAGCGATGTAGGCAAAATTACTTTGGCAGAGTCCATGGTGCAGAGGAAGGATTATGGTCTCTTGGCCAGCTGAAGATGGTGGTAAACACTCTGGGAGTATTTTATCAGCACCTCTGGGCTGTGGTAGAGTGTGGCTTATGCTCTTGAGTGGTGGTTTCTTAGGGTAATCTACACTATGAAATTAGGTTGATTTTTAGAAGTCGATTTTTAGAAATCGATTTTATACAGTCAGTTGCGTATGTCCACACTAAGCGCATTAAGTCGGCGGAGTGCATCCTGACCACTATGGCTAGCATCAACTTACAGAGCGGTGCACTGTGGGTAGCTATCCCACAAATCCCGCCCATTGGAATTCTGGGTTAAGCGCCCAATGCCTGATGGGGCAAAAACATTGTCACGGGTGGTTTTGGGTACATGTTGTCAGTCGTCCCTCCCTCTGTGAAAGCAACTGTAGACAATTGTTTCGCGCCAGACACCAGGGCGATTAGAAGAGCACAGCAAGGCGCACTGCGCATCAAAGAGGCTTTGAAAACCAGTTTCATGACTGGCCAGGCTTCGGTGTGACAGTTGTGTGTTTCTTCTTGATGCAAACCCGCCCCCTTTGTTGATTTTAATTCCCTCTAAGCCAACCATCCTCCCACCTTCAAAATAAAGTAACTATTGTTTTGAAACCATGCATTCTTTATTAATTATAAAAAAAAAAAAAAAAAAAAAAGATAACGGACAAGGTAGCCCGGATGGGGTGGGGGAGAAGGGAAGGACAAGGTCACATTGCTTATTGTAGCCACACTAAAAATCAAACTGTTTGAATGACAGCCTTCGGTTGCTTGGGCCATCCTCTGGAGTGGAGTGGCTGGGTGCCCGGAGCCTCCCCCCTCCCCTCTGTGTTCTTGAGCGTCTGGGTGAGGAGGCTATGGAACATGAGGAGGAGGGTAGGCGGTTATACAGTGGATGTAGCGGGGGTCTGTGCTCTTGTTGGCTTTCCTGCAGCTCCAACAGACGCTTCATCATGTCAGTTAGCTCCCCCATTAGCCTCAGCATTGCGTCCTGCCTCCGCTCTTCGTGCTCACTTAATTCTTTCTTGGCCTCTGCCACTGAATGCCTCCATGCATTAAGCTGTGCCCTATCAGTGCAAGAGGACTGCATGAGCTCAGAAAACATGTCATTGCGAGTGCGTTTTTTTCGCCTTCTAAACTGAGATAACCTCATGGACGGAGATGATAGGGGAGCGTAGAAACATTCTACGCTCTACGATTCTGGGGGGACTGCATGGTCACCCGTGCTGCTGAGTTCGCCACGCTGACCAAACAGGAAATGAAATTCAAAAGTTCCCGGGGCTTTTCCTGTGTACCTGGCTAGTGCATCGGAGTTCAAAGTGCTGTCCAGAGCAGTCACAATGGAGCACTCTGGGATAGCTCCCAGAGGCCAATACAGTCGATTTGCGTCTGCACTACCCCAAATTCGATCCAGCAAAGTCGATTTTAGCACTACTCCCCTCGCCAGGGAGGAGTACAAAAGTTGTTGATTTTAAGAGCCCTTTAGGTCGACGGAACAGGGTTGGTTGTGCGGACAGTCATTTTTAAATCAACCTAATGCGGCTAAATTTGACCTAACCCCGTAGTGTAGACCAGGCCTTAGCTTCCTGTCCACTAGTGGGATGTACTGACATGGAAGTACAAGTAGACTTTGTCTGCAGGGATAGAGATGTGAAAGAAAACATCTTGCTTCTTCCAGATCCCCTGTGTGGTTTAAAATTCATTGCCTACTAAGCTGTAAAAGTAAATTGCTAAAAGTGCTTCAGTTTTTATTTGTTAATATTATCAATATAACCAAAAAAGGTGGTTATGATACGGAAGATTATAATGTTGATAAAAATATGAAATAGATCATAAATAAATTGGCAACACTGCACCTAATGGTAGTGATCATTCTTTTTTCTTGTATCTGAAACCAATATTTTAAAATATTGAAAAGATAATGTGGCTGAACTGAAAAATGAGACTGTTCTAATTTTGTAAATGTTTAGGCCTAAATACTGTTAGGCATGCTTCCACTCTTCCTATTGTTCTCTATTTTCCACTGGGAACTTTTCAATGTGGTACTACCTTTTTTTTTTATAATCATTTAAAAAAATTTCATTTTTAATTTACAGAAAACGTATGTTTCAGAAGCGCTGGGTTAAGTTTGATGGAGACAGTATTTCTTATTACAATAATGATAAGGTAAGCATCTTTTTGTGTGTGTGTGTGTGTGTGTGTGTATTTAAATAAGTATGTTTTGGTCTCCTACCATTTAACTGGAAAGGTAAAGTGCAGATGAGCTATGCTTACTGTAACATAAAAGAATTCAAAAATAAATATAAATTAGTATTTGTTTATAACTTGTTTCTAAATAGTATTTTCACTTGCAAAATATTAGGATGTGACACTATATTAAATGTTTCAAGATACTATTGGGATCTTCAGCTAATATTTCTTTTTTTCTGATCCCCTTCCTGACCTTTCCAGAGAGGTATTCTCAGAACTTTTGCTTTTTTTGTAGAAGACATGTGTACTGCAGAATATCTGAAAAACTGAACAAGATCATGCAAACCATACTGCAGGGATCAAATTCTATTTAGCCGATGGTAGTGACTTTTGTCCTGGCTTGTCATGGCAAGCTGAGCATGATGGATAAGCACTGATAAGCTTGAAAAAGGGATTGAATTTGGCACACATCTTTTTTTCATTAATCAGTGTGTGGTTTCTGTTCCTGATTTTAACTTTCTTCTGGGAATCTCCATATTGGACAAGACTGACTAGCTTTTATCTGAATTGGCTTGTATATAAAGCCAACAATATTCTAAGCTGTATAGTGCTATGCAGTTGGGGAGTGGAAAGAATTTCTTCCTGACGCCCACTGGCTATTGGCTTATACTTCCAAACCTGAGAATTGATGGCTACTAAACTTTTGCCACAGTTAGTGTAAATGAAGCAGCTCTTGTTACTCCCACTACTGTCCTGTGTGTGTGTGTGTGTTGTCTTGTGTTGAAAAATCTTATTAAACTATTTGTCTTGGCAACTGTAAATTCCATAGGTAAGTTATCTTTTGATATATGTTGTACAAAATAACTTTTTACCCATTTTAAATTAGTTGCATCAGGTTTTCATCAAAAGACTTCTTGTTCCTTGATGAAAATTGGTTATATAGGAGTTTTATGTAACGTTTCACTCTACTACTCTTCCAGATCACTGCTAAATATATTGAACACTATCAGTTCCAGGACTCATCCCCTGGGTACCTAGATATTTTGTTGCCGAAAGTTGGCCATTTATTCTTGTTCTTTGCTTCCTATCTCTCAAGCAGTATTCACCCACAAGAGGACTACCTCTTGCCCTATGGTTCACAAGATCCTGATCTTCTTTTAAGTAGAAGAAAATGAACTGAACTAAACTCCAGATCAAGACACACATTTGTGTGTGTGTGTGTGTGTGTGTGTTGGGGCTGAGAGTGTATGGATATGAGTTTATTTGAAACATCGAGAGCATTTTCTGGCAAAGAAACAATAGGAGTGCCTGGCTAAAACAAAACACCAGTGACCAAGGCCATCTCTCTTTGCAAAGACTGTGACTTTTCTGAAAGCTATGGTGGAGACCAATAATCAAAACTCCTGTAGGGGTTTTATATTATGATTATTTAGATCCTTAAGAACAAATGAGAAATGTATAGCACAGAATGGTCTGATATACTACCAGGGCATAAGGACTACACTGAAGGGGATAAGGAGATTAGACAAAAGCTGAATGATTTCTTTTCATGAATCTTCACCATGTAAATTAACTGAGGGTAAGGGAGAAGGCCTACCCAAGATTACTCTCTTACACTCGATGTAAAAGTAAGGCATGATCAGGGGGATGGAGAAAGTGATAGAATAATTTCAAGATTCAAATGGCAGTGAATCACTAGTCCTAGATGGCATTCACTCAAGGGCAGGAGCTGACGAACAAAGTAAAGCCACTAACAATATAGAGAATTCAGCATTTGACTGAAGCATGGTCACCATTGTAACTAATGTGTTGAAGAGAAAAGGTGCTAAAACTGACTTTATTATCGATTATTGAGCCATACATCTGTACTAGGTAAAACAATTAAAAAGATAACTGAAGATAAATGCTTGGGATGAGAGCCTCCCTGCCACCTCAGCCCTTACTACATTTGGTGCAGGAATGGGAGAAGCCAGTCATAAGGATGCCTTCTGAGGATCCCTCATAAACCCCAGCATAGGTGCGAATGTGTTTTGAGGAAGACAATAAGGAGCCTATAAAAGCCTGACTTAACATCTCTTTTTAGCCCCCTCTTCTTCTCACCCTTGGATTAGGGGAGCATGTTTTTGCTGGAACATATGTGAATTGGCCACGTGACATAGTCATACTTATGCAGATAATTGCAGAGCCTGCAGATCTCTAACTACACGAAATATCTTGACAATGAGGAGTCCGGTGGCACCTTAAAGACTAACAGATTTATTTGGGTATAAGCTTTCATGGGTAAAAAACTCACTTCTTCAGATGCATGGAGTGAGAATTACAGATGCAGGCATTATTATACTGCCATGTGAAGAGAAGGGAGTTACCTCAAAAGTGGAGAACCAGTGTTAACAAAGCCAATTCAGTCAGGGTGGATGTAGTCCACTCCCAATAATTGATGAGGAGGTGTCAATACCAAAAGAGGGAAAATTGCTTTTGTAGTGAGCCAGCCACTCCCAGTCCCTAATCAAGCCCAAATTAATGGTGTTAAATTTGCAAATGAATTGTAGCTCTGCAGTTTCTCTTTGAAGTCTGTTTTTGACGTTTTTTTGTTGCAGGATGGCTACTTTTAAATCTGTTGTTGAATGTTCAGGGAGATTGAAGTGTTCTCCTACTGGCTTTTGTATGTTACCATTCCTGATGTCTGATTTGTGTCCATTTATTCTTTTACGTAAAGACTGTCCGGTTTGGCCAATGTACATGGCAGAGGAGCATTGCTGGCACATGATGGCATATATCACATTAGAAGATGTGCAGGTGAATGAGCCCCTGATGGTGAGGCTGATGTGGTTGGGTCCTCTGATAGTGTCACTAGAGTAGATATGGGGACAGAATAGGCAACGGGGTTTGTTACAGGGATTGGTTCCTGAGTTAGTGTTTCTGTGGTGTGGTGTGTAGTTGCTGGTGAGTATTTGCTTCAGATTGGGGGGCTGTCTGTAAGCGAGACCTGCCTCCCAAGGTCTATGAGAGTGAGGGATCATTTTCCAGAATAGGTTGTAGATCGTTGATGATGTGCTGGAGAGGTTTTAGCTTGGGGCTGTACGTGATGGCCAGTGGTGTTCTGTTATGTTCCTTGTTAGGCCTGTTCTGTAGTAGGTGACTTCTGGGTACCCATCTCGCTCTGTCAGTCTGTTTCCTCACTTCCTGACCTGCCCATCTACTAATGTGATATATGCCATCAGGTGCCAGCAATGCCCCTCTGTACTGTAGTATCCGGGTTCCTTCCAGTAGTGTATTGAGCAGCATGACTAAAATCTGTCATGTGTGTTTTAACCTCTCACCAGGGAAAAAATTATGTGTGTAGTGTTTCTTGTAGGGTTTTGTTTTGAGATTTAACTGCAGGCTGAGGATAACAGTGATAAAATGCAGTGTTTTATTGCCTGTAAGCCCACAAGTCACTTTTAATAGTTATTCCTTTATTTTAAAAATGATCTAAAGAGTTTGTGTATATATAGAGTCTTCTTTTCATGGTGGTGTTAACTAGAGTGTGGATAACTCAAACTAACACCTCCCAAGTTAACATAGCTCGGTTGAGAACAGTCACACTGCAAAACAACATTCAAGAAACACAGCGTGAATGTTGTTAGCTGCACAGAGTAGCTGAATTTCTCGGTCCAGAGCACTTGAGCTTTAACCCATACCCCTGACAGGGCAGCTTGCTCAAGTTTAAAGCACCACTTAACTTGAGCTAGAGATTTTTGACGGGTGTTGGGTTTAGGGAAACACACGAGTTATACCTGGAACCAACGCTGCAGTGAAGACAAGTGTTCAGTGTGTTCCTCTGTGCAATATCTTCAGAAATCAGGTTCTACTCTGACAGAGAATGTTTTCTGTATTTTAAATGTCTAGTTTCATACTGTTTTTCACAAATACTAACACAAATTAATAATAAGCAAATCCATATTGTGAGGTGCCGACCTAACCAGTTTTATGTAGCTACTGCTAGTCCTTGGCAGCTTTTAACTACAAACAGCATTCACAGAGGTATACTAACGCTGCGTAGATGCTGAGAAGTTTAAAAATATTTCTGTATTTTATCTTGGAACACTACATATGCTAAATTGCCTTATCTGCTTCACTTTAATTGAGAACTTGCAGAAGGTGAAGGAGTGAGAAGGAGAAGTTTGCCAAATGGCAAATAAGTTAAAAAGAAAACTAAAGGGGTTGGGGGGAGTGAGAGAGTTGTATGTTTGACACCCCCACACACTTATACTCAGTCCTTCTAAGCAGCAGGGTCTTACCGAGTTTTCTGAACCACTTTTCTCTGACCTTGTTCAGCAATATCAAACCAGTAGAGTGGTTCTCTTTTAATAAGTACACATTTTTCTTTCTCGCATACCCGAATATAATATATGAAGAAAAATGTCCAATTTCCTGCAAGCAGTCATTGACCTTGATACTGTTCTTCACTGAGCCACTGATGCTGCTCATTTCTTATACGTACACAGGCTTGAGCAAGCTAGTGTGGTGAGAGCAACATCCTGTGTGGTTACATCCTTAACTGAGTGTGGTTAAGCGGAGAGAGTTTTATAAAAGGAAAATGCAATCTGAGGCTGCTTTTCAACAACCAAATCTGCATGTTTTTTTGTCTCAATGTGCTGTCTGTTTTTGACGTAAGGAACTACAATTCCACAAAACCTAAATTATAGTAAAGCAAAAATGTTGGTATGGTAAGGTTATCATTTCAAAAGTCTGAGGAGCTGGGACATATTAATTACAGCTGTATTGAAAATGATAAATTCGTTTCGTGTATGATTTTAGAATCTGATTTCATTCTGATTTGGAATGAAAACAAAAAATATAAAAATTATATGCAAAACAGAATGCAGATTATTATTATTTATTATTGAAAAGTCAAAATGGTTTGTTTTGATAGTTTTGAAACAAAATTCTGCCTACTGAGCTGAAGGAGAGCTGGGAGAACTGGCTCCTGGCTC